AAATTTTGTATGCAGATCCACGTCTTCTTGTAGCGCCCATATAACAGTGCCCCCCTTTATTCGGTATTTTGATGATTCTAGCGACGTCATTCATTGGAACTGTTTCAAATTTGGTATTTAAAGGTCGTAATGGATACTACAGCCCATGACAGGAGATTCGCTGTGCAGGTACACGTTTTAGTATAGCCTCCCTATAATGGTACCTCCCTATATTCGGTATTTTAGTGATTTTAGCGACATTATTCACCGAAATTGTTTCTAATTTCGTATTCAAAGTTCGTAACGGGTAGTACAGCCTATGACAAAAAATGATTTATGTAAGTCCTCATCTTCGTATAGCCCTCGTAAAAAGCTCACAATTTAAACGGATTTTTCGGAATTCGTTAACATTTTTCAAGTTCCATCCAAATGGCGATTACCATAGTAAAAAGTTTTACATTCTTGCAGTTCTAGTTATGTGTAAAGAGTTACATCGATCCAAAAAGTTTGTAACACCTCGAAATATTGGTCCTAAACCCATCAACTCCTGTACAAAAAAAAATGGAACAGAATCTTCTTCTAGCGAAGACAATCTTTTGGAAAATTAGGTGGAATTTTGTCATCATTACGTTCCTGGAATTGCAAAGACAGGGTGAGATGAAAACTACATCCAAATTCAGACTGCTGTCAATGCTAAGCCAATCGTCCGACAGCTGTTAAATTATTCCAGTGACAGCTAATTATATTGTTCATAAGCGTAAAAAAAACATTTTGGTGAGAATTTTTCAAAAAAAAAGTTATTCGTGATGAAATTCAAGCGAGATAGTGTGATTTCTTTATATTTGGCTGGAAAACCACAAGTGGCTATCGTTAGAGCACTCGAGCATTTAAATATGAATAAATCTTTTGTGTCTCGTACCATCGCTTGTTACCGTGATACTGATAGCGCAGCCCAACGTCAAGGAAATGGACAGAAGAAAAGAGCAACCTCAGCAGAAACGGTTCGAAAAGTAAGGAAGCGGCTTGAACGAAACCCGCGTCGCAGTGGCCGAAAAATGGCTCGTGAGCTGAACATATCGCAAAATTCCATTCGCCAAATATTGAAAAATGAGCTCGGGGTAAAGCCATTGAAATTGCAAAAAGTGCTTACACCGCAACTGAAAAAAAATAGACTCAAAAGAGCTAAAGAGTTTCACTTAGCGGAAAGTGGTGAACTGCCGTATTTGGTTTTCTCCGATGAGAAAACATTCGTTGTCCAGCAGTTTGTAAACAAACTTGCCGAAGAGGTCAGCTGAAAATGTGCACCTTCGGTTGGCCACCAGAACTCAGGCGCCGGGCATTGTGATAGTGTGGGCCGCCATAACAGCCAATGGTCGCTCTCCGCACGTATTAATCGACCGTGGCATCGGAATAAATGCCGAATATTATCTCGCAAATATTGGTATCCGCTCGTATTAACCGACCGTGGCATCAGAATAAATGCCGAATATTATCGCATGCCTTGGAAACGCAAACATTTTGGACATAAATGCCGAATATTATCGCATGCCTTGGAAACGCAAACATTTTAGACATTCCAACAGGACTCAACAGGCGCCACCCAAATATGGTTACAAAATGAGGTTCCTCGCTTCATTTCCAGCGTACAATGGCCACCAAAATCTCCGGATACCAATCCGTTGGACTATTGTGTCTGGAGTATTTTGGAAAGCAAGGTTGGCACTAAAAAACACCAAAGTGTCGATCACCTCAAGTAAGCGCTTCGCCGGGAATGCGCAAAAAATACCGCAGAGCAAAATTCGGGCAGCGTGTGGCGGTTTCATTGGCCGTTTGATGGCCATGATTCGTGCCAGAGGTGACCAATTCGAACAAATCTAAACTTATTCTAAAATTTGATGCTATTTGCGACATTTTTTGCTTTCATTCATTAAAATTAAAAAAAAATGTAAAAATTATGAAGTTTGACTTTGTTGAATTTTTTTCTCACCCTGTATAGTGTACGGTATAAAAAACTCCACTGATACCATACAATTGGTTTATAAATTATGTTGGATTTTTATCTCTATTTTTTCTGAAGCATAACAGTGTTGTTGTGATGTATACTTATAATATTCTTAAGATCCCAAAATATCAAATTCCAACTACTTTAAAGTGCCTAAAGACAGCCGGAGCCATTGTTAACACAGAAAACGTTAAACTACCGAATATAATGATTGTATAAATAGAAGAACCATAAGGTGTCTTTATAAGAGGATTTTTTATCTAATGAGAAAATTTATATGAATTTAACCTAATTCCGTTATTATGTGAAACCCTTCAACAAATCGAAAATCATGAGTTATATAAGAACTATACCATATAGTGGGCTTTCATCGAATCCTTTTTAAGCTTAAAAATCCATTATGTTAAGTTTCAGCTCATTGGATTGAAAATTTTGTAGAAACCTTAAAATTACAGGAAATACGGTTTAACCTTTCAATGGGCGTTTTTTTTTAAGACGACCTATATAGAAACATTTGCGCTTTTGAGTTACCAATTAATATTTTATCTACGAATCTTAATTGATCTTTTTTTATCAAATTTTCATGTTGATATCTGTAGGACTCAAGGATTTACAACTTCTTTACTTGTAGTTTGACATAAATCAAGAAAACGGTATATTGAGTTTTTAAATGACATTATAACCTTTTTTGCGTAACGATATATTTTACATTAAAGTTTATTATAAATTTGGGAAATTCGACTTAAAATACTTTTTTACTATTATTTCTCCCAACGTTGTGATATTGTTTTGTCGAAAGATGATACATACCCAACCTAAAACATGTTTTTCTTGGTCTACAATATGTTGGTTATTAACAAATCTTATTTTTATGAATTAAGTGGAGATTTAATGTTGTAGGGTACCACGTCGTCGGTCTATAGCCTTTTTTACTTGTTTCAATTAATGAACTCTATTAACTGTTCTTATTTCCACTTGCACTTATTCATTCTTTCACTATCATAAAATCTAATATTTTATTTCGAAAATGTAAACAAGTATTGGTCAATATTTAGCACTCAATTTTTCATTCGATTTGAAAGTCTATTCCAAAAACTCATAAAACGTTTCTATAAACAAATGAATAAATAACAATGTGCAAATGTGGTGTAAGCTTATTTTAGAAATATTAACAAAATGTAAAAAAAAATAATCTCATTTGTTGATTACAATTAGCGATTGAATTAATTAGGACAATGTGGAAAACTATCTAGATTTATTTGAAATTATTATTTTGTAAATTGCTATACGTTATGTTGAAGCTTTCGTTTCTGTGATGTTATAGGTTTACTCCCATTAATTGAAATTTGGGGTTTAAAATTCCTTGTCTGCTGAAGATGTTCAATATAGGACCATTATACGGTATAGCCTTTACCATGTACTGCTTGAAAATTTGAGTTCCCACTAAATACAAATTTTACCTTGAAAAACTTTTTAATTTCGATTCACATTATTTTCAAAAGCAATTTTTTGAAGGTTTTGAAGGTCCCCATTATATTTTTTAGTTAAAGTGGCTTCAATTTTATAGATTTTTATATATACAGGTTGAGATGAAAAAACTGCAACCAACTTCAGACTGCTGTCATTTCTATACCACTCATCCAACAGCTGTTAAAATAATTCCAGTGACAGCTCATTATACTGTTTACAAGCGTACAAAAGCATTTTGGTGAGAATTTTCCAGAAAAAAAGTTATTCGTAATGGAATTCAAACGAAATAGTGTGATTTCTTTTATTTGGCTGGAAAACCACAAGTGGCTATTGCTAGAGCACTCCAGCATTTAAATGTGAATAAATCTTTAGTATCTCGTATCACCGTGATACTGGTAGCGTATCCCGACTTCAAGGAAGTGGACGAACGAATATGGCAACAACAGTAAGCAGAAATGGTTCGAAAAGTAAAGAAGCGACTTGATCGAAACCTGCATCGCAGTGGCCGAAAAATGGCTCGTGGGCTGAACATATCGCAATATTCCATTCGACAAATATTGAAAAATGAGCCCGAGCTAAAGAGTTCCTTCGCTTGGCCGAAAGTGGTGAACTGCTGAATTTGGTTTTCTCCGATGAGAAAGCATTCATTGTCCAGCAGTTTGTAAACAAACTAAATGATTGGGTTTAGTTGCCTAAGTGGTCAGCTGAAAATGTGCACCTTCGGTTGGCCACCAGAACACAAGCGCCGGCCATGGTGATGGTGCGGGCCGCCATAACAACCGATGGAGGCTCTCCGTATCTCCCTCTCGTATTAATCGACCGTGGCATCAGAATAAATGCCGAATATTATCGCGAAAATATTCTGGAGGGTATTAAAGCTTTAGGCGCGCAAACACTTTGGACGCACCATCGGACTCAGCTTCGCTTCATTTCCAGCGCACAATGTTCACCAAAATCTCCGGATACCAGGAATTTGGACTATTTCGTCTGGAGTATTTTGGAAGGCAAGGTTGGCACTACAAAATACCAAAGTGTCGATCACCTCAAGCAATTCGAACAAATCTAAACTTATTCAAAACTTTAATGCTATTTTAGACATTTTTTGCTTTCATTCATTGCTTTCATTTAAAAAAATGTAAAAATGATTGCGTTTGACTTTGTTGCAGTTTATTTTATCTCACCCTGTATATTTAGAACACATCTTCGCAAAAAAATAAATTTTTTTTAATACCTCAAGGCTTTTGAATGACCCTCAGCTTACGATATTGTCCAAATATTGATATATTCAAGGTCATGGTGTTATGAAAATATTGAGCATTTGAAGGTATTGTGCTTAGAATTTTGAATACAGACTATTTGACTACAATTCAAGTTGTTACTTGTCCTCAAGTAGTGCATAGGTATTGTCCAATAATACAAAGATTAAATTAAAATGATCTGATTGATGGAATTGATATACATTAATAAAATGTAAAATATGGACTAAAAAATTTTTCGTTTCCCGATAGCCTAACACCCCTTAGCAAAATAGAAATTGAAATAAAAAATCTTTCTATATATATGTTATTGTGTGTTTTTATTCTTTGTTGTTGTTGTATGTATTTGTTGGTGTTTCGTTTAAAATAAATATCCGGAAAATGCGCCGAAATGCATGTATGTTTCAGTATACGACGTTTGAATTTCATTAAAATAGAATTATAAATAAGGCTGTTATTTTATACAAAATAAAATTTTGAAAAAATATACAACATATAATATGTTTATTTTGTTTTATTATTTTTGTAGGTTTTATGTTTTTTCTTCTTCTCATTAAATATATATAATTATTAAAGCTCTTTGTATTTTATTTTGAAATTTAATGGTGTATGCAATAAGTAAGGTGTTGATGGTGGTTGGTGGTATGGTAGTTAGTGAATTTCCACTAGTTCCTTGCTTTAGATAAAAAGTAACAACAATTGGATATAATTTTGGAAAGCAAATTATTTATATCAACATGAATGTTATACAAAAATTTTTTCGTTACTTTGGTCTAATTATTCCAAAAAAAATAAAAATGTTATGATGATTTTTTACAACTATGGTAAGAGTAGAATTTTTTATATTATTTTCGTTTTTAGTTTAATTTTTTTTTTGTCAGAGTATTGCCGAGTATATTTAATGTGTGTGTGTGTTTTTTTTTTCTTCTGGGAGTAGAATATGTATATTTTATGTAGCTATGATATATGCATATTTGCATAGATAACAAACAAAACATCTCTCTGTAGTAAGAGTAATAGTAGCAATAGTAGTAATAGTTGTTCTTGTAATGTACATATAATATACAGCATAAAAGCGGCAGATAATTTCGTATTACATAATTTATAAATTATCTTTTGTTTATAGTGTGTTTATAATTTATATATTTTCCATTCCTTTCTTTTTTTTTACAGTATTGAAAACATAAATGAAACATAGCAGTTGACAGTTGATTGACAGATAGATAGGTAGGTTTGTAGATTTGATAGCATAAATTATAACTTAAACACTAGGTGACAAGGACATCATATACATACATTTGTTTTATATAATATTTAAAATAATTAATTGAATTCAATTGCATGTGTGTGACATATGTACGTACAGTTCATACTACTAGGGGATCATCAACATGGACATCGAATGCTTTTGTGTGTTATCATGTAATTTCTAATTTATGTTGTTAACATTTCTTTCGTCTCCTTCTGCTTTTCTCAGGTTTATCTAGCTTAGACGTTTACGAAAAAGAAAACATAGACTTTGAAACATTCGCTGTTTTAGTTTTTTTATGTAGTTCCTATACAAAAGAAAAATCAAGTTTGAAAGAAGGCAAACTTCATGTGTAAACGACTTTATAACATTTTACATCACTCTGTATCAGGATATTTATTACAACGTAGACAGTATCAAATAATGATCTTCTGTATACAATAATCTGCCATCAGGTCTTCTATAGACCACAGAACACTATTAAATCTACTAAAAACAGAAGGAGCCTCATTGGTCTTCTACTCTGATATATGAAGTAGAATACACAATCATTTAAGGCTGTAAACCTTTCTTATATGCAACAGCATGCTTCTCAAATAGAATAGCTCCAAGAATAACTATAGTTATTCCACAAGGAATATCATACTTCGTTGTCTTTCCTTAGGGTCTTCTATTACGAAAGTTCCCCTATTGAGAATACATTGCCTCTAGGTATTCAATAGCCAACTGAAGGTATTTTACAAATTGCAGATGACCTCTAGATCATAAATTTCATTTAATAACAAAATATATAGACAATTTTCCTTTAATCATTTCAATAGTTTTTCCAAAAAATAAAAACGTTATTTATTATATTTTCGAACATCATGCAACTCGCAAAAATGCTGTGCCCTGAGATTCGTAGTATCGTCAAATACATATATACTAGCTATGATTAAATATTTACTTTCTAGAATTTCCAACAATGGTTTGCTCACATTGAATATTTAAAAAATCGATTTGCCTACAGTAATATTTTGTCTATAACATAAAAATCTATCCAATCAGAGTGATGTAAAATATGCAGAAAACACAAAGTTCAAGTTTCTCTAAAGTTGGAGTTTGTTGGATGGGGGTATCTACTAACACCAATTTCAGCATGTGTTTGATGATTAAAATCAAAAAACATTTGTTTTTCTTTGTTGCAACAGAGAATGTTCTGTGGAAATAGAATCTATGATGGATAATACACGTAGTTTTCATTCATTACTATAAATGGCATATGGCTTTGTTGTTTGTTTGGACAGACACATTTAGGCCTCCGTTTCGGCACCTTTTAATCGAAGACGTGCAAAATCTTCAAATATTATATCATCATCTTGGGCATCATCGTCGTCCAGTTGAATTAGATTTGTGGTTGGTACTTCTTGCACACCACCTGTTGCACTGTTGTTATTGGCACCGGTATTGCTGCTGCTATCATCATTACCGATCTGTACCAGCTGGGCATCACCGCGTATACTTTGACGCGGTGATTTGTCACTCAACAGTGGATTTTCTTCTTCCTCAGGTTTGGGATGCATCAAAGTGAACGGTAATTCAGCCACCAAATCACCACCCATTAATGGACCACTTATAAGCAATTTCACCTTCACCTTATAGTGTACAATAATACCCAAACTTTCACGCTGGGCTGGATTTGTTATGAGTGTACTTGATGCTAGATTTGTATCTTCGTGTTTCAATTGACCGTCCAGTGCCAGGCCCCACTTGTCCTTGTTATTGGCAAGCAGTGGACACAGCTCGAATACTTTTGATAATGTAAAACCGGGCAATACCTGGCAACCATCTTCGGATTCAGTTTCAGCCACAACGGATTTATATTGCGCCGTCGAAAATAGGCAGATATCGGCAAATTGTCGTACACATACTTTAATTTTCTTAACCGTACGATTCGAATTGTTCGCCACGTGAACATTCACCGAAATTTTTTCCCCATGATGATACAGTTCCTTGTCGAGACTTGCCTCCAAATGAATTTTATTTGGTTTCATCATAAATTCTTTGCTAACCTCAATGGATGGTTGTTCGCCCGCTTTGGACGGAGCATACATTACTTTGCGTATTGTTAAGCGTACCGAATTACGTTTGTGTGGTTTATCATCGATATGTTCACCTGAAAGAAAAAGAAAGTGAGTTACTTAGAATTTTTTAACTTGGTATAAAAAGTAGGATTATTCATAAATATGTGTATGGAATTGATAGGTCGTATGCCATCCCTTTTTATCCCAATATTTTTTAAAATTCTTTCGTTTTGGGAAACTGTTTATTAAAAATAAAACATCTTTTCAACTTTTTAATATATATATTTTTTTAATTTAAACATACTTAGATACAGTTTAAAACTGGCGATCAGTTCAAGTTAACGGAGTACAAGGAAATTAAAACGACTCATCGTGGTTGAAGATTATAGAAAAATTAAAGGAAAAATATAACTGTTTCATTGGTGAATCAATCGTTCAAATTTCAAGTTTTACAAACATTTATACTCCCTTCAGTGGAACTAAATATGCATATCGTTCCGAAATACCAAGAATCTTTCAGTACTGTATTGTGGGTGAAATCAAATTTTGCAAATCTTTCTAGAACTCAAATATAAACAATATTCTGCCGCCGGTGGTACAACCCATTAGAAACTGCAAGTTTGGAATTTTTAAACAAATTCAATAGAAAGTGAGGCCAAAATCCTAATTAACTTAAAATGAGGGGTATCTTACAACTAGGACAGTACTAAAATGTGGACCAGTTTTGATATTTTTGCTAGTAACGTTAGATCATAGTTTCTATAAAAAATTTACGAAATTTAATAGAGAATATGACTAAAACGTAAATATCTCAAAATATTGAGGAATCTTTGTATAGGATCAAAGCTATATGCATTCTTAAAAATGGTTGATTTGGGAATCCGAAATTGAAAATATTTTAGTATAATACATATAAAATTCACAGATTTTTTTTTTTTCATTGCTAAAATACGTCATCAAATGCTTGAAAAGGTGGTCGAAAATTGGTAGTGGTGGTCATATACCTGAAATTATATTTAAATATTTAATAACAATACATTACCTACAAAATAAAAATTGTGTTGGCCATTTCATAGTTTTGGGATGTGTATTAAATTACATATCCGCAAGGTCTTAGAAAAACAACAATGAAAAAACTGCAACCAACTTCAAACTGCTGTCATTTCTAAGCCACTCGTCCGACAGCTGTTAAAATTATTCCAGTGACAGCTCATTATATTGTTTACAAGCGTACAAAAGCATTTTGGTAAGAATTTCCAGAAAAAAAGTTATTCGTGATGGAATTCAAGCGTGACTAGTGTGATCTCTTTATATTTGCATTTAAATGGAAATAAATCTTTTGTGTCGCGTACCATCGCTCGTTATCGTGATACTGGTAGCGTAGCCCGACGTCAAGGAAATGGACGGAAGAAAACAGCAATATCAGCAGAAATGGTTCGAAAAGTAAAGAAGCGACTTGATCGAAACCCGCTTCGCAGTGGCCGAAAAATGGCTCGTGAGCTGAACATATCGCAATATTTTATTCGGCAAATATTGAAAAATGAGCTCGGGATAAAGCCATTGAAATTCCAAAAAGTACAAGAACTTACACCGCAACAGAAAGAAAATAGACTCAAGAGATAGACTCTAAAGAGTTGCTTCGCTTGGCCGAAAGTGGTGAACTGCCGAATTTGGTTGTCTCTGATGAGAAAATACTCGTTGTCCAGCAGTTTGTAAACAAACAAAATGATCGTATTTGCTTGCCAAAGAGGTCAGCTGAAAATGTGCATCTTCGGTTGGCCACCAGAACTCAAGCGCCGGCCATAGTGATGGTGTGGGCCGCCATAACAGCCGTTGGTCGCTCTCTGCTCTTATTAATCGACCGTGGCATCAGAAAAAATGCCGAATTTTATCGCGAAAATATTCTGGAGGGTCTATTAAAGCCCTGGCGACGCAAACATTTTGGCCGCAGACCTTGGACTTTCCAACAGGACTCAGCACCATCGCACTAAGCATGCGCCACCCAAGAATGGTTTCAAAATGAGGTTCCTCGCTTAATTTCCAGCGCACAATAGCCACCAAAATCTCCGGATACAATCTGTTGGACTATTGTGTCTGGAGTATTTTGGAAAGTAAGATTGGCCCTAAAAAATACCAAAGTGTCGAGCACCTCAAGCAAGCGTATCGCCGGGAGTGGGTCAAAAAACCGCAGAGCAACATTCTCCCACAAAAATTAACAATTCTGAAATTAACGTTTTTTGTATGTTAAGCAAATTTTTGGGATGTATATGTAATTCGTTGAAATACTTGTCCTCAAAACTCGTTACAAAAAATAGATCTAGCAGCAGATAATTTTGTAAAATATTCTGTCTACATCCTAATGAATGACAGAAGTAAAGAGTTGGTGTTATTCAATTTCCATTTTTAATGTGAGACTTAAATTTTAGATAAACATAATCGAAACAAACACCACCGGCGAAATGGGTTTTGTTTATTTAAACTTAAACAGCCAATGGAGCCAGCATGTATTTAATTATATTTCATTTTGAATTATCACTTCATTATAAATTTGTTTCTTATCGTTAACATCTTTGTTTAATTAAAAATAAATGATGGGTGTTTTCCAAACCACAAAAAAAACAACAAGAAAAAATCAATACTATTCATTGGAAAAAACGATTATAAAATAAACATTTCTATTGATTCGACATAAGAGGTTATATCAATATATTTATATAAAATAATCTCAACGAAATGGTTTATTTTTACATCGGAAAAGAGTTGATGGATGGATGGACATGGGCAATTTGTAAAAGAATCTCTGTTTGTAAGTTTATCTATAAATGTATGTCATTGCGTAAAATCTAACAATTTGTCATCGTTAATTCCATGGTATATTAATAACGAGTTAAGCCATGGCTGAAGTACAGAAAAAACAAAACTTGTGACGTAGTAAAATACATATAAGGAATATTGCAAAAATGTACTTGGTTGCCAACCACTACTACTACTACTCCATAAAAATTCCAAATATTTTATTAGCTTGCTACGTTAGAAAATATAGGAAGGTTCAATATAGCGAATTAAAAAGTAAATAAATGCCGGCATTTGTTTTTATTAGCTTCTTTTCTATAGATTCCACTATTTGTTGTTTGTAGAGAAACCTCCAAGCAAAATTAATTAAAAATATGGAGGAGGCCAGGGAGGTGGGAATTGCGAAAGCAAAAAATACCGATCAACATGAGAAACCAAAAAAAAAAAAAACATTATTTCATTGAGAAAACAATTAAGAATTTAAACAACAGCAGCACCACAAGCTGGATCAGCCTGCCGAACCGAACACTGGGTAATGAATGATAAATTTAGTTACTGCGTCAACATACACCCATACCACCACCATCACCAACCAGCCATATTTACGAGCTGTTGTTTGATGGTGGGGTACATATTATAGTATTTGTGTTGCTGCTGATCGGCATGAGTAAGCGCATAATTTACTTGGAAAAATGAAATATACACAGAAGAGAAATGTTTATGAACTTGCCATCCATACTGATGCTTGTCCGCCAACCAGCCAACAAGTCGGCCTAGCGATTGCTTTTAAATGTTATTTTCCAAAAAAAAAACAACAATTTTTGGACGAAGAATGTAAAACATGCATGTTATGACAACAGACTGACTACATGCACACAGTGGTTGTAAATTTTGTCAAGTCGGGCTTTCTAAAGATCAAAATAAAAATCGAATGAGTCATTGACTTTTATTTTGCAGAAAGCAAAGTTTAAAATTAATGGTTATTTTAATTCACTTTTGACTGTGTAGATATTTGTAAGTTCAAAGAAAACAAATAAAAAAAGCAGCTATGTTTTGCCGGGTCGAACTTTTAATACCCTCTACATTTGAAAGAAACATGCAAAATCTTAAGATCATATCGTCCTTTAAATGAAAACCGATTTTTAAGGGGGGATATACGAAAAATCCAAATATTCAATAATATTCATTAAAATATCGAAAAAGGGAGGTACCGATATATGTGGGGAATACGAAGACGTGAAGGAATATACTATTTTCTGTGATTGGTTGGCTGTAAATCAATTTCGTAGAATAATGTCTCTAAAATCTATAAAATAAAGAAAATTAGGAGATATCGTTATATAGTTATAGGT